GCACATAGTAAATGCTCAATAAGTGCTAGGTATCATAATTAGTGTCATCACCATGTGAGAGGTAGAAGCTGAGAAACAGTTATTGCCCCAGGAACCCTCTGCCTGTGCTTTATCTGGGAACTCACTTCAAGTCCATCAAATGCTGAGCAGCAGGGAAGGTATGGGTGGAAGAAACATACAGAAAAAAACTGAATTCCAAACCAAACCTGGCTAAACTCATCTCCTAAAAGGCAGTCCCCTCAGACCAAGGTGTCTGCCAGGTCCCTAGGCGGTGCTAGAAGCCAGAGTGCAAGGCCCAGCAGCTCTGGGTTTGGAGCAGAGCCTGCCTGACGAAAGCTTAGAACATTCAGGAGGCCAAGGTCATGAGACTAAACCCCAGCAGGGATGTGCCAGGTCCCCTGCACCAAAACATGTGGGGATGTTCTGGGCGACGGGCCAGCCCCACAGGAAGCCCAGCTCCCAGAACTAGAGACAAAGGAGCTGAGGGGGACCTGTCAGTGGTGATGGTGACATCCACAAAGGGCAACCAACACATACACACCCTAGTATCTTCATACACAATGCCTGAGCCCCAAATACCCTCAGCACCAGTGTCCCCAGACCCACTACCTCTGCTTGGCTGACTCCTTTTCAAGCCTTGGCCCAAATATCACCTCCTTTGGCAACTCTTTCCTAACCTGCAGACAGAGCCTTTTTTTTTTTTTTTGAGACAGAGTCTCACTCTGTTGCCCAGGCTGGAATGCAGTGGTGCAATCTTGGCTCACTGCAACCTCCGATTCCTGGGTCCAAGCAATTCTCCTGCCTCAGCCTCCCGAATAGCTGGGATTACAAGCACGTGTCGCCACGCCCAGCTAATCTTTATATTTTTAGTAGAGATGGGGTTTCACCATATTGGCCAGGCTGGTCTTGAACTCCTGACCTCAAGTGATCCACCCGCCTCAGCCTCCCAAAGTGCTAGGATTATAAGCGTGAACCACTTATCACGCCTGGCTGAGAGTCACCTTTTTATCTGCTTATCCCTATATTTCAACACTTGTTTCATTACTATCTATGGGACTAACTCCCCCAACTAATAATAATAGCAATAATAATATTACTTAGCACTTACTATACATACCAGATACTGTTCTGAGCTTGTTACATGTATCACCTCATGTAATCCTCATGACAACTTTATGAAGTAGATACAGTCTACATGATTTGCTCAATGTCAGCCAGCTAGAAGTGGCGAAGCCTGGATTTGAACTCCAGCTGTGTGGCTCTAGTTCACTCTTACAGTGAACTCCTTGAAGGCAGGGATATCTGATCTGTCTCTTTGTCCCCTGCAGCTAGCACAGAGCCAAGCACACAGTAGGTGCTTAGAAAAGATGGGTTGACTGAATAAGCAAATGCCTGTTTGAGGCTAACTTGGAGAAATTTCAGCCTCTGAGCTGCAGGCCAGGGAGACCCAGGCTGTTACCCTGGGAAAGTAACAGATAAATGAATCTTTCTGACTCGTCCTCTCTCAGCAACCTAATCACATGCTGCTGTCTGCCTTTTTTGTATATCTCTTGTCTTCTGTTTTGTTTTGTTGTGTTTTTTAGCTACTTCATTTTGTCAGATGTGTTTTTTGTTTCTCAGTTTATCTTGCGTCTTTGTCATCCTTCTCTTCTGTTCCTTGGTCACTATCCCCATTCTTGACCCATTCCAGCCTTTAACCATTGTCCTTGTCCTTCCCTGGAGTCTTTGTGGGCTTGAAAGCTTTTGGCCCTCATCCTTTGTCTTGGAGCTTTTATAAAGAGTCCAAGCTTATAGATCAAGAACACAGGTGACACTAACTCATAGACAGGCCATAGACCAAGCTTCTATATCCTGACCCCGAATAAATTCTACCTGAATGCAGGTGTGGTGTGGAGTGAGGGACTGCCAGCCCACAATGTGTCACATACCTATGTGGGATCACACAGAAGACTCATTGCCCTCCCTGCCTCCTCCCTCCTTCCTGAGGGTCCCAATTCCTCCAGGAAGCCTTCTTTGATCACTTAAGAAAGCTTATTCATGCAACCATTCAGCAAATCCTTATATATAATAGTTGAACGGGGAATTAAGGCCCCATGTAAAGTTAGCTTAGAATGTAAGCCTTAGTGTAAGTGTACAAGTTACTAGATGTCACAGATACCATAGGGCCGAATGAACTGCAGACAATCAGGGATTTCAAAATGGAGATCTATATGACCTGGAGCAAGTGGTTTATCCTTTCCAGGCCTCAATTTCCTTGGCTAGAAAACAGCGGATGTTAATGTACACATTAGAAGGTTGTCAGCAGGACTGAACAAAATGACCTTTATGATGTTCCTCACATGGACTGGTGCATAGTAGGTATTCAATCACAAATTTGTTTCCTTCCCCCTTCTCTGCCTGAAGCACCAGCCTTCTACTCAGCCCTGGCCAGCCAGATAAATGGTGAGATGTGACCTGGTCCATCCTTTCAGTTCAGAAAAGTATCCAAAGGACAGGATGGTACCTGGCATGTTAAAGTCACTCGTGTGGTAATTCACTAGCATTGTTTATGTTCCTCACTTCCGTCTCCTCAAGCTATGGGTCTCTGAATGAGTCTGGTGGGCACAGAACTAATCAGCTGGCAAGTCCAGATACAAGTGTGGTCAGCCTGAGACATGGAGGTTTGTTTACCGCTGTATTTTCAGCTTCTAAAATCATGCTAGGCACACAGTAGGTGCTCAAGAAAGAGTTGTTGAATGAATACATTTTTTAAAAAACAATGGCATTTCCTTTTCCTTTCAAATAAATGACATAAGGGTGTGGGGAGTAGGAGGGGCAGGTGAGTAAATGGCGGGGTGCAAGGGACACCAGGGCCAGGCAAATGCAGCTGCCAGGCCCACCAGCCCAGGCTCCTCTGCAAAGGGGATGCAGCAAAGCCAACAGTGCATGTGCTCGCACTGTCAGGATAAGCGGGAGTGTGTGCACGCCTGGCTTACCATTTCAGCGGCAGTTTACAGGCTGAAACTGCAAAGCGGGGCAAAGGTGGAGATAGACTAGGAAGGAAGGGAGATGGCTGGGGAAGAATGAGGAGGGTGAGAGAAGGGAAAGAGCAGTGTGAGGGGAAAAGGGAAGTGAAGAGTGTTAGAGGAGGAAAGTGAAGAATGAAGGAAGGAGAGGAGGAGGGGGAAGAGGGAGAGGGAGGCACCGGGAAAAGAGAATGGGGAGTGGGGAAGACCTGTGTTAAATTAGAGGGAACCTGCTGTACTAGCTTGGGTGAAATGAGCAGATCTCTGAGTTCTTACTGCCACTCGGTGTCTCCCTGGGAGGTGACTGCATTAGGTAGAGGGAGTGGTTTTGGGGGTGTTCCTAGGTGCCAGACCCCAGGCAGATCTCAATTTAGCAGGCACTGAGGCCTTTAGTTTCATCCTCTGTAAATAATGAGGTCCCATCCCAGGTCCAGGGAGAGCGCTCCTCAAGAAAGAGAAGTCTGAGCCAGCCCAGGGGAAGGACGGAAGCCTAGGAGACTCAGACCCCTAGCTCTGCCCTTCTCTTGCCATCGTTTCACCACAATAGGCAACTGGCCAGGAAAGTGGGTCAGGCCACCCACATGTGACTTTTTCTAGTAGCAACAGGGCTCGCAGGCAAGGGGGCTCCCGTGCCCATCACAAAGCCCACCCCCCCACCAAGCTCAGTGCTCTTTTTTGGAGGGACTTTTCAAAAGCAGTGGGCAATGGGAGGATATCCTGGCCTTCTTATTCAGGGACAGTACGCTGGGCCAGAGCCCATCCCAGGCTGGAGGGAAAGGGGGGCACGGAGCCTGCCATCAGCCTGGGTGCATCTTCCCGGATGACAGTGACCAAGCTGGCAGCGAGCCACCTCTATCTACTGCCCTGACCTAGGGAGGCTGTTCTCCCCACCACCTCCTGGGATTCTCAAGCAGAGGGACTGTCAGTCCATCTCTGGCAACTGATCGCTGTGCCCAGCCCACCCCCTCCAACCCTGCCAGTCGCCCAATTAGAAGCTGCGTTGGCTCCAACAGATGGGAGCTGCGGCAGCCTGAGGAACAGAGCACAAAGCCCAGCTGACATTTTCCTTCCTGTTCGTTTGGTGGGGGAGGAAGGGTAGGGAGCCCAGTACCACCCCCAGGGCCCCTCCCCAGGGTCTGGGTCTCCTGCACCTCTTCAGCTTCTCTTCTCAGCCCCGGATGGAGCTCAGTTCCCCCCTCACCCCGCGGCTCCTCGCCGGTTGGGCAGCCAGAGCCTACGCCGCCCTTTGCCAGCAGGACAGACGGCCCACCTGTGGCTGGTCAGCCCATCCTGTCTCCTGGGTGCTGCGGTGGGCTTAGAGCCACCCTTCCGTTTCCGATTCTCCCTGCCAGAGCCCCCAGGCTGAGCCCCAGGCCGGCCCATCCCCCACCCACAATGTCCCATCCCAGGCTGCTGTCGGACCTCAGCCGGCCGGCCCGGGAGGAGCCTGGCTCCTGGTTCCAGATACTTCAGACAGACCCAAGGCCACCTTGTCCCTCCGCCCAGACATCCGCGCTCCAAGGAGGAGAAAGTCCCCAGGCTCTGGAGCGCTTCCAGCCTGCCAGTCCGACCGTGTCACGCCCTCCCTAACCTCGCCGCCACTTCCCGGCTCCTCGACATCTCCAGGGCTCCGCTCTACCCAGCAACAGTTTGGGGGAGGTTCTGGCCTCTCCGGGCGAAGGCCCAGGCGCCCCCTCCCCGGCCGCTTCTGGGCATTCTCCAGTCCTCCGTCCCTCTCCCCGTCGGCCGCCTCCCTCTCCCAAGTCGCTTGCTCCCCTGCAGGCGTCTCGGCGGAAGGCAGCGGCCGGCACCCCCCGGGCCCCCACCCGGGTCAGGCGGAGCTGCGGTGCCGCCCGGATAGGAGCCGGGAGCCCCGAAGCAGCTGCTCCGGCCGCTCCCTCCGCGCCCCACCTCGGCCACGCCAGCGACCTCGATGTCCACGACTCCCCGGCCGCGGCGGCGCTGCCCAGGTCAGCCCCGGAGCCGCACACTCACCCCGCGGGCGCTGTCCGCCGGCCGCCGGCCGCAACGCCGGGCTCCGCTAGCTTGCCGCCCGGGGCCGCGCTGGGGACGCTGATTCGCGCCCTCCTGCCTCGCGCCGTCTGCACAGGCCAGGGAGGCTCAGCGGGCGCCCTCCCCAACGTGGAGTTATCCTGGGAACGGCTCCGGGGCCCAGCCGGTGAGGGCGATGGCAGAATCCCAATCCGTTCCCAACCCTTCTCTGCGCCCTGGGCGCGTCGTAGCCAGAGGCCGGCGGGCGAGAGCCGGGCGCTCCCTCCGCGCCGCGCGTTTGCAGGCGCCCGGAGCAGGCCTTCGCGGCGCCTGGCACCCCCTCCGCGCGCGCCCCTCCTCCCGGCTTCGCGCTCGCCCTCCTCACTCGCTTCTCCGCTGCTCTCCCAACCTCCCCAGCCCACTCCGGTCGCCTCCTCCCAGTCTGCATGCCACGCCAACCCCCTCCAGTCCCGCTGCCATTTTAACTCCTGAGTGGCCAGAGGCCCCCTCTACCTAACGCACACACACCGGGAGGAAGGAGTTGGGTGGGGCCAGACGCTAACGTTTGAGCTGTCCTTGTGCCTGGAGGCACAAGGCTTGGCTGAGAGAAGGGGCACAGCGCCTGGGTCCGGGAAGAGAGGGGTTGGCTTCTCTGATACTACGTCGGACCCTCTTGCAAAGGCCAGGACGACAGATGGGAAATTCAGCAGCTTTGAGAGGACAGATGCAGCTCACAGTCACAGCGTGCACCTAAGATCACATTTTTGCTTTGCATGGTGCTACCCTCCTGAAGTTAACAGTAGACTAAGGAATGTAGTGGGGTGGGTGAGAATTTGTTATTGGGCCCAGGCACCTCTCACCCTAAAGAATGGAGTGGAAAACCGCTTAAGTTGTCATGCTTTTCCAGCAGTGCATTCTGAGCCACGCAGCTCTAGCATTCTGGAAGATTCCATCCTTGCTCTCAATGAAGGAGGTCAATTTCAGTCAGGAACTGGCAGGCCCAGTCAGGGGTTTGGCTTCAGGGTTCCCCACTCTGCCAGCTGGACAAAATGAAGACGGGGGAAGGAAAGTAAGAAGGTGCCGAAGGTGGGTGCTAGGCTGCTGCCTGGTGGCTTAGAAAAGCTGGGTGACTGCCACTAGTGGGGGCTTAGGAGAGTGGATCTCCTGCTGGGGCAAAGGCCCAAGGCCCAACACCCATGCCTTGATGGGGCTTTCAGCCTGGACCACTCAGAACAGACATCACAAACTCAGCTCCATGGCAGGCCACACCCTATTGATGAGCCTGGACCAGAGCCTGCAGGACCAACAACAGGGGAACGGATGAGGTGGAGCCCAGGGTGTACAGTCTGCGAGGAGTGGCTTCCCCGGGCTGCCTGCCATCATCCAGTACTTGAGCTTCTGGCCCTTTCTTTTCCAAGGGTACAGCCATTGGTGACTGCCATGCCTGGTGGCTTTTGTGAAGTTGTCTTGAAGGTCTGTGAGTTCTGTATGCACAGAGGGGATTCTCACCTTCCTATATTGAATGAGCACATATTAAGTTCCCACTGAACTACCCCCATGTTCCCACTCTCCACCCCTGCTACGGAGCATAATGGCCTCAAGGAGCTCAGAGTGACAGGTTGGAACTATATGAAACCAATTTTAACATTTCAAGACAATGAAAGTGCCATAGAAATACAAAATGAAACCACCATAATGGGCTAGCATTATTCACAAAAGGTTTAGTGGAGGAGTGAGTTTCTAGCTGAGCCTAGTTGGAGGGATAGGATTTGAACTGGAAGAGAATATGGGGACTAGCAAAGGCAGGAAAGTGGGGACAAGCAGAGTAAAATGGGTTGTCTGGAGGGTGGGGGGCAAGGGAGGAAAATTATAGAGCTACTATTAGATGCCAGCCTTTTTTCATCTTCTGATCTTACCCTCTGAATTGACTAACATCCCCATTTAACAGACAGGGGAATGGAGGCTCAGAGAGTTTAAGGCAGTTGCCCAAAATCTGTAGGCAGAATGTGAGACCTCACTTTCACAGTGCGACAATGCCACATTGAGTATACAGGGTGGGAACAGCGGATGAAGGGTCTGAATTGCCAGGGTCAGCAGTTTAGCTGTGACCAAGTGCTCAGGTGATCTGGAAGGAAAGAGGCAGGGAGATGATAGACAATTGAGGTAGCTGTTGCAGGAATCTAGGAGGAGGGGAGCAGTGAGAATAGCGTCAGTGCATGGGCCTTTGTAAAGAAGTCTTGGCAGAACTTTTGAGACTGAATGATTGAAAGGGGTCAAAATTTGACTCCAAGCTTTTAGCCTTGTCAAGTCACTGGAGCAACCTTTCCAGTCTAAGAGCCAATGTCAATGTAGACAGACTGATGGTGAAAAGGAGGACATTTTAGCAATCCGTTACCAGTTGCACGATCTGAGAGAGCACTCATGCCAGCACCCCAGCCCCCCAATAGACACAGTGCATGCTCATGTGTCTTATCTCCTAACCAGAGGGTAAGCTTCTGGAGCCTATTACTGTCTCACATCTTAATGAGACAAGACCAGTCCCTTATAGTAGATGACCAATAACTGATTATTGAAATAATAAATGGGATAAATGCAAGTAACATTTGCCAAGTGGCTGATCCTGAGTGGCAAAGCCTGTAAGATGTACTAGGTGAGGCATAAGGGAATTTCATCTGTGGGAAGAAAATAGGGGAAGCCTTCTCTTGAGCTGACTGCAAACTTCTTATAACCCAATGTGATAGGAGAAAGAGCAAAGCTTTTAGAGCCAGAATGATTTGGGTTTGGAACTCTACTTGTTCGGTTACTCTGTGTTGCTGCAGGAAGAGTATCGAACTTCCCTAGCTCTGATTCTTTTCTAGGTAAAGATATTAATTCAAGCAATAGCAGTTAACACTTACTGAGCACCTACTACATGCAAGGCAAGGTGCCAGCACATTCATACATCATCTCATCAAAACCTCGACCAATACTAGGACTCCAGCGATAGGAGAAAAACAAGGTGCAGTATTTACCTGACCAGTACATAATAGAAATAAGATGGGAACCCAGGGTCCTTAGAAGGTAGAGTCCAAACACCAAGCCAAGTCTCCCTAGCCCTTCTTTAGGATGAAGATAGCCGTAATGGAATGGATTCATACTCATAGGTTGCTGTGAGATGTAACAGGGACTACATGACTGGCAGGAGCACAGTGGCTGGTGCATGGTACATGGTCGACATCTTTCTCCCAACCCTGCTCCCCTTGCTGCAATTCTGAGTCACATACTTTCTTGGGAAAAGCTGTCCCTATTCACAGTCCTTTGGAAGCTCTTAGGTAATTACCCAAAGGCCCTGTTATTGACCTTTCAACCTCCAAATTTAATTCTTGGGTGTGGCCATGCATAATTTCCTGCCAGGAAGCCTGGGACTCTGACATCAGAGTGTCTTGGGAGAGGGATGCAGGGGTTACACACCCCTAGAAATGATCCTTAGCTCAATTCCAGGTGGCTCTTTCATGCAGGGATCAGGACACGGAACTGGTGAGCATGTTGTTTGTGTGGTGGGGGCTGTGAGGAGGGGATAGCTCCTCCTGGAGCCTGGCAGATGAGCCGAATAAGAGAAGGGAGGCCTGGGATTCCTCAGTGGATCCTCCACTGCTATGCGCCATGTGCAGCCTCAGTCTCCTTAGGAGATGTGGGGTGGGACCTGGAGAGTCACTGAGGACTGTTGTCCCACGAGGGACCCAACTAGGCAGAGAGTATGGTGCTAGAGCAGTGGCCCTCGGAATCACCTGGAGAGTGTGGGCCAATGCAGTTGCTGAAGTCCCACCCCAGAGTCAGATTCTGTAGTTCTCAGAGTCTGCATTTTGGATAAACCATCCAGGGGATTCTGATTCAGGTGGTTGGATGGACAGCACTGTGAAACAGAGCAGCGTAGGGGTGCCCATGGCTCCCTGCCCGCTCCCTGCCCGGGCTAACCATGTGCAGAGCCTTGTTCTCTGGGCAATTAGAGCACAAGTGAAGGCAGAGGCAGAGGCAGAGGTGAAGGGAATGAAGCTCAAGCTTTAGGGCTTCTCAACTTGCAGGATGGCGGGGAGCGGGGGGCTGTGAGAGCTGGGACTTGTAGAATGTTCTAGGTGAAGAGAGGGAGCCGGTTTACGAACAGGAAGCATTTTTATGTAAGCATTTCTGGTCAGTGGAATGAAGAGATGTCAGGAGAAGGGAACCTGAATGTCTGAGGCTCATGCAAATTATCTTCTTGCAGGCTGGAAGTAAGTATCACTACTATACCTAATTTTGTATTTGGAATTCTGCGGGTTTTTTCTTAAGACAGACCCACAAACCTGGGATCTTCTCCAACCCCTGCCCTCAGGAAGCTCCCAGGATCCAAAGACACCCTTGGAACACAGAGAACCAGAAAGGCAGAAAGACACACACTGCAGATGGCAGAGCTGTGTGGAACTGCAGGGAGTCCTCAAATTTATCTTGGGTTATATTCCTGGAAAAGGCACTGCAGGTAAAAACGATGTAGGTTGAACCTGTTTTCGCCCAGAAACAACGTGCTCATAAAAATTACATTTCTCACCAGTGTCCTGGTGCCCAACTTTTTATAAGCACAAGCACCACAGACAGCATATTTAATCAACAGTAAATAATACACACGTACTCTGTATCTCTCTCTCTCTCTTTTTTTTTTTGAGATGGAGTCTCACTCTGTCGCCCACGCTGGAACGCAGTGACACAATCTCGGCTCACTGCAACCTCCATCTTCCAGTTTCAAGTGATTCTCCTGTCTCCGCCTCCTGAGTAGCTGGGACTAGAGGCTCATGCCATCACATCTGGCCAATTTTTTATATTTTTAGTAGAGACAGGATTTCACCATGGTGGCCAGACTGGTCTCGAACTCCTGACCTCAAGTGATCCACCCACCTTGGCCTCCCAAAGTGCTGGGATTACAGGCGTGAGCCACCATGCCCAGCCCTGTATTTCTTTTTCTTTTTTCGAGACAGAGTCTTGCTCTGGCACCCAGGCTGGAGTGCAGTGGGGCAATCTCAGCTCACTGCAACCTCCACCTCCTGGGCTCAAACAATTCTCCTGCCTCAGCCTCCCTAGTAGCTGGGATTTTAGGCACATGCCACAGCACCGGGCTAATTTTTGCATTT